TCCGCCAAGACCAAATACATTAACATTGTCATGTACATTACCATGCCAATCCCTCCGAGAGTTGTCATGACATAACTAAGATTAATAAATGCTGTAGAAGAACTGGTTCATAGTTAGTTGATGTTAACCTTATTGTAAAGTGTTACCAGGATTATTCCTTACTGTTTGCGATTGTTTGAGCAAATTCCAGTGCAACCTGTTGGCAGAGACTCCCGCTTGGTCTTTAATCGATTGTTTATGTGGCTGGCTACAATTTTTTTGTCACACTTAAAATATAATAATTATTTTCCCAAAAAATTCTAAACACTGCTGTGGAAAGTTTACAATGGTTGCTATGTCCCTGTACGTCAGAGGCGACCAATGCAGCACGATGATGCTCTATAAGTGCATTTAGCGATTGAGTTTCACAGTCAAAAACCCTCCCAATGGAATCACTGTTGTGGCTTCTGTGTAGGTGTTTATTCATTTTCTAGAGTTTCCACACTATGTAATACAGCGGAGGCCAAACAAAGGAAAGCACAAACAGCAGGATCGGACCATGATGGGAAAACGGGTGCCTTGAGGAGGGAGTTATTGAATCCTGAACATTATAAGATCTCCACTACAACTATTATATGACAAATATAGGCAACAATATATACTACTTTTAAAATATATTTTAGAAGTTTCCTCTTTTGGTTGTAAAACAGTTTTTATTTACTAAGGTGGATGGTGTAAAGGCCAGCTGCAGAAAATAAAAATGCTATTTGCTTTGTTGGCTGAGCCAGTCCTATCACAGATGTGCAAATAACCTGCCTGACAATGTTATTGTATGTGCGGCATTTCAAGAAAATGAAATTGTCATGGACAATAAATGAGATATTGGGAGAAGGAGAGACACGGTGTCACAGAGCACAAGGTAATAGATTAATGTAAGCATATTTAAATGTTTCTCGCACTTTGCATTCTGACAACTCATAAAGCCCATGCAATAAACCAAAATGAAAAGATAGGAAGATTACAATAAGTTAGATATTTAATGTTAATTTACTTCCATTTATGCTATTGCAAACGCCAAATTCCTCTGAGAAATGAAACATTTTTGTTACCTCTTTAGGCTGAATATGCAAATAAATCATGTGAATATGCATGATTGTGTTCATCGCAGAGGTCACGACCTTTCAGGTTCCATTCAGACACCAGTCTAAAAAGAATGCCAATGTTCCTAACTTAGCGTTTAGACCTTGAAAACTTTTTAACACTCTTGAATATTATTGTCTGCTGTGAACTGTAATAAACATCTCCCTTAAGGCTTTAAAAAAGCCCTTAACACACTGTTAGGTGACATATCGATCAATGGCTGCTGTTTCTTCAGGTTGTTGTTTGGCCACTACTCATTATCCAACAATTCTCTCTCATTCTCAGAGACCTGGGCCGTAATAATTGGAAGCGAATACACACACTGATTTTCAAGGATGAATCTGATGTATTGGGAACCAAAGACAGAATCGAGCTCCAGAGGAATTTAACATCCATTTGAAGTGATCTGTCGTCGTCGTCCACATTTACATAGGATTTCTATTGAAGCGCAGATAAATATGGAACAAGCTTTATTTAATTTTTTATTACAGTAGATAAAGGCGATTAATTTTTATGATGAACTATTATATCAAGTGCCAACTACTGTGCAAAAAAACATAGATATTCTTTTCCTCTGCCGCTTGCTATGTCTCATTTTAAGTCTGAATCTTTTCTTCCTCTGTCTTTCCCCTGAAGCTTTTCTGTGCCTCAGGGGAGATGAAGCTTAAGCATTGGACTCACATCTCAGAGGGATAGCTAGTGGCCCTGCTTTCAACTCAAACCTACAGCCATATGTCACCTATGGGACTAAACTAAAACTGTTGAATGAGAGACAGTGAGACTGACAGAAATAGAGAAGAGGAGACATTAAAGAAATAAAAGTTCACCCCCAAATGAAAATTCTCAAATTATTTATGCTGTTTTATGGATAATAGTGGCATGAAGATTCTTGAAAAATTGTGTTTGTGTTCCACAGAAGAAAAAAATAAAAAATAAAATAGCATACGTAGAAGGGTGTCACTCATGAGGGTGAGTAAATAATGGGGGGGGTGAACTATCCCTTTAAAAATCATCAAAACAACTTTCATAATGACTAAAATAGCACAGCTTATGGACATGCATTCACTCACCATATTTATTGATGACACAGGTCCAATACTATTTACGAAGATATCAACATCAATGACTGTCGGTTTAACTGCAGAGAGAGAGAGAGAGAGAGATGGCATTATAGGTATTACCATAAAACAAAAATATTTGAATGAAAAGAGCTTTATCTTTGAAAGTGTTTCACAATACAGTTACTGAGTTGTCATCTGCTTATGCATCCTGTGTAAAAGCAATTTTATGTTTGTGTACAGTTTAATGAATGAAGTGTCTGTACACCAAGAGGTCATAAAATTGTGATGCCATTATATTGCATAATCTTCTCACCCTGAATCCAACTGAAATCTCTCTTAAAGGATTTCCTCTTTGAGCAGTATTTATAATAATCTCAATAATCTACAGTTTTAAACATTGGCTTGGCTGACATTAAACGTGGCTGAAAAGCACTCGTCACTTCTGAGAGATGAAGTGGAACATTGGAGGGGGGGACAAAGGAAAGGAACTGTGAGAATTTCAATATGAGTGAAAGCCTGGTCTGACAACCCTCCATTAGGAAAGTATTTTCTGTAGCCGAAGAGATGAAGGAGGGGTTCATTCTTCACAAACCCAACAAAATGACAAAAAGACAGCGAGTCAAGTATGATCGACTTCCTATCATTTTGATAGCAGCATATAGTGTCACCAAGGTAATGTTTATGGCTCTGAACCATGTGAAACATCTGCATTGTTCTCAAGAAACAAAAGATTTTAGGCAGCATCACAAGAAGAATTACAAAAAAATAGAAGAAACATTAAGGTCCCTTTAATTTTCAGTAAAAACAGATTATGTAAAAAGTATATTTTGTTACAATCTTTGAAGAATGTAACAACCGCATTTTCCCTCTTTCCCTCAGTCTTGATGCCTTAGCCAACCTCTGACCACTTCTGTCAGTCCAACAGCGCTCGAGTGGGCACAGCCCCCTCAGGTGTGCTTACTCTTAAATATGAGCATGACATTTTCAATCTCCCTTCTCATTTCCTAAATGCCTTCTTCACTGAGTGTGCATCAAAACAAAGATTCCCATCTGTGCAAGAATTAACAGTGTCAGTTGCTTTGATATCTTGCATGTTATGTAGAGAGTACTACATCAGGGCCCTGACTTAAATTAAATAATAATAATAATAATAATAACAACAACAACAACAAAAAAAACATAAAATTGTGTGTGGACTCCGTAGGCATATCTTGGCTGATTTATGCAATAATGCAAATGGGTTGGACACACCTTCTAAAATGTTAGCTATGCTGCCCTAAATAAAATGCCCTAACTAAATATAATTTATTTATATATGATTTATATATCATTTATTTAATTATCATTTTTATTTATTTATTTTTGATATACACTACACTTTTGGGAGGGTTCAGTTTTTTTTTTTTACAGTTTTATTGCATTTATTTGATCAAAAATACAGGAGAAAACATATTTTAATATTATTATATTAAATATTTATTAATAATATAAACATTATTATTATTATTATTACAATTTAAAACCGTTAACATACTTAAAAATGTAAGCACAAAAAATACATGTTTAGCAGAATGTCCAAGCTGTGTGCTTCCACACAATGAAAGTGGAAAGGGGACTGAGGCTGGGGAAAAAAATCCAAAATAAATGCTGTCCAAATGGCTCATGACTTGAAACGTGAAATTCAACAGAAAATTGTTATTCATTGGAAATTTTGCCTTGAAAATCTTGCTTGAAACATTCAGTTCCAGTCAGCATTCATTCATAGAGTCCCTTTCATTACGGCTAAAAGCATCTTAGACATTCTAAAAAATCCTTGACTGGTTTCAAAAGACATTTGAGTTGGACTACTTGTTTAATCTGTTGTTTTCTTAATTTTGTTTTGACTGGACTTTGATTTTTGATTTGAAACCAAAACCATGTTCCATCATATGTACTGCTAGAACATGAAGCATTTATTAGGCTCCAAGTCAGAAGCAATATTTTGTAGGGATGCATCGATCCGATACTGAGTATCGGTATCGGCTCCGATACTGGCATTGTCTGCCGGATCGGGTATCGGTCAGACGAGACCAATCCAAATTCGATATTGTGCGTATACTATTCTGTGTTATTGTTAAGCCCCACGAAAGGCACAAAAAGATTATAAAGCACCATTAAGTTCCCCTTAAGGAACTCGAGCTGCGTCGAAACGCTACGGGAACGCCTCCAGCGTTCTTATTTGGTGTTGTCTGTCCATTATCACTCTTTATTTTACCAATACGAGTGTAGACAAACATACGGTGAGTGCGGGCAGCATCTCAGGCTGTGTGTTCTTTGCTCTCCGAAGGCTCTCTTTGAGGAGGGAGCCTTCACCAGCGTTTCTCGCGGCGCAGGCCCCGCTTTCGCCGAGGCGGAGAGGCGGCTGTGCTCGTGGGGTTCGCATATTGATCCAGTGGAGGGAACGTAGACGGGCGAGTCCCTATCTTCTTCCTCACCCACCAGATCCAGCGCCCGCTCTCGGGGTTCGGAAGCCCGCGCTGCGGTTCTTTCCCCCCGGTGAGAGGGCTCGACGCTCCGGCTGTCTTCCTCCGAGGAGGTTGATATGGAGGGCGTCGATGAGCTCGCCAGTTGCACAAGCATCAGTTACACAAGCATATTATGCCTAATATTATAATGAGCAGCTTTACTGTGGAGTGGAGCTCGCGCAGCCAACTCTCGGGGAAAAAGAGAGGGTGCTGCTGCTGCTGAGGCACGGCGGCGATTCAGATCGTGGGGATCGCATGTAGATCTAGCGGATGGGTTGGAGACGGCTCGCCCTTTCTCCGCCTGCACTCCCTAGATCCAGCGCTCTCTCTCGATGTTCAGAAGCCCGGAATCTCTCACCGGTTGGGAGCGGTCATGAGCCATCTCACGTGGCGCATGAGTTGACTGGAGAGGCTGGCCGTGTTTCTAGCTTTGAAACACTTCCTCCCAGGCCTAAGAGATCGCTATGTGTTGGTGCGCACCGACAACACTATAGTGGTCTCTTATATATGTGGGGGCAGACATCCTGTCGAGGCAGGGGCCGAGGCCCGGGGAATAGATGCCTCACCCCGAGGAGTGAAGCAGACTTGGAGAGTCTTTGGCCAGGCTCAGGTGGACTTGTTTGCGACTCGCACTGATATCGCACGGTCCCCTCTGGTTCTCTCTCTGACTCATCCAGCTCCACTGGGGCTGGATGCCATGGTACAGACGTGGCCGAGGCTTCGTCTGTACACCTTTCCCCCGATTTTTCTGCTCCCGGGAGTTCTGGAGAGAGTGCGCTGGAACGAGGTCAGTCTACTGCCAGTAGCCCCATTCTGGCCGGGCCGAATATGGTTCTCGGACCTGATTTCTCTCTTCAACGGCGCTCCATGGGAGATTCCAATCAGGAGAGATCTCCTCTCACAGGCAGAGGGCACGCCCCCGCCCGGAGCTGTGGAAGCTGTGGGTGTGGCCTCTGAGGAGGCACAACTCATAGCTTCAGGTCTCTCAACCGAGGTTGTTGTGACCATCCTCCATCCAGAGCTCCCTCTATGAGGAAACTGTACTTCTTGGTGCAGAGACCGCCAGCTCGACCCAGCTAACTGCCCATTTGGTACAGTTCTGGAGTTCCTGCAGGCCTGTTTATCTGCAGGGTTGACCCACTCCACCCTTTAGGTCTTTGTGGCGGCCCGCCTGGAGCTGTGGAAGCTGTGGGTGTGGCCTCTGAGGAGGCACAACTCATAGCTTCTGGTCTCTCAACCGAGGTTGTTGAGACCATCCTTCATCCAGAGCTCCCTCTATGAGGAAACTGTACTTCTTGGTGCGGAGACCGCCAGCTCGACCCAGCTAACTGCCCGTTTGGTACAGTTCTGGAGTTCCTGCAGGCCTGTTTATACGCAGGGTTGACCCACACCACCCTAGAGGTCTTCGTGGCGGCCATTGCGGCCTACCACGCCCCTCTCGGTGGCCATTCAGTGGGAAGACACCCTTTTCGTACACGTTTCCTCCGCGGTGCGCTGAGGCCGAGGCCGAGGCCAGAGAAGCTTATGCTAAATGGTGGATCAGGATGCTATTCCATAGCCTCGAGTTCTCTGATCTCCCCTCTCCTCTGGGGGTCAAGGCTCACTCCTCCAGAAGTTGGCCTTCGGGACGGCAGGCCCCGCCTACTTTAGCCATTCCTGGCTCCCTTTTCTCTCGCCTTAGTTGTGCTCTTCCACACTAGGCAGGGATTTGCAAGTCTGGCGGCGTGGGCATTCTCATTCCCATAGCGTTTCAATGCAGCTCAAGTTCCTGAAGGGGAACGTCTTTAGGTTACGTATGTAACCATGGTTCCCCGAAGGGAACGAGACGCTGCGTC